GATACAAATACATTATATTCTATACAAATACACTCAAATACATATTTTGTATAAATACTTTATATTTTCACATGTATTTATGTATTCCAAAGGTTTGTATTTTTTTAATACAGCTGAATATTACTGTTTTTGTGATTTTATGTTGTTTGAATGCAGTCGAATTGAATATGGTGAATTGAATATAATGTATAATAGTGAATAATGAATATCGGTGAATTGAATACAATGTATACAGTCGAATTGAATAGAACGGTATACACCATATTCTTTATTTTTTGTTGTTTGAATATAACTGAATTCAATATAGTGAAATTGAATACAACTCAATATTGAACTTTCCGTTATTAAACACCCGTAATCACTTTTTTTAGGCGGATTACCTCACTGTATTTATAAATACATTCGCGCGAATACATGGAATACATAATTAAACAACTGTAATCCCTATTTATAAATACAATCGTAGAATTGATTTTGTTGAGTTAAATTAGGAGTGATACACGCTAATTGATCCTCTTTCCGTTATTAAACAGCCGGACTCCCTACTTATTAGGCGAATTCCGCGATTGCATTCATGAATACAGTCGCGCGAAAAAATCGAATACAATCCGATAACAACGAAATATTAGCTATAGGAAGTAAATATGTATATGATAGCTGTAGAAAATTAATAGCCACTAAACTATTGTGGTTTTTGAAAATTCCTCTTGGTTAAACCTAGAATGGACGTGGATCACTCAAGTTAGATGGGTTTCTAAACCGAAGCGACCTATTAATGGGCTTATAAGTCCAATTGCAAGAAACCACGGGAAAAGTAAGGATAAAATGGCATGGTATGACAATTCATAAGGAGAATTGACAATTTTTTTGCCTTATATTATGTTTGGCAATAGAAATCCAAAACAATTAGCATCAAATAACCAAACTTATTTTCCTTAAAAATAGCAAAAAAAATATTTAGAACCTCTCTTCTCTCCAATTCTTCGTTGTGCATCACGTAAATAAAGCAACTGTATTCCGTCTTCTACGTTCCATATCTTTTTCCAAAAATGTACGAAGTACTCTTATCTCCCCTTTCCATAACAGGTGTCTTATTCATTTATTCTCATTACTTTTTTTTTTATTAAAGAATCTCTCTCTCTTCTCTCTTCTCTTCTCTCTTCTCTCTTCTAATTGGTTGCAGCCATTTTCCTAAAAATTATGTTTTATGTTCTTTCAAAAGCATCTGAAGATTTCTCCAAAACCTCTTTATATTCCTTTTTTGAATTCTTTTTATATTTTCCACTGTAGCAATATATATAAGTTTAGAGTAAGTTCTAAGACATAAAAATAATAAATATAATTATGGGAGTAAAAAAATAATAATATACATTTTGATATACAAAGATGGAAAATAATTTTTGATATACACAAAGAAGGAAAATAAATTAATGATATATATAGGTATACACATTATTTAACATGTTATACACTGCGATATACAAATCATATAATTATTTTTATTATGATATATATTCGTATAGAGACAACGATAAATTTTGGATAACTATATTTATAAATTCATAGTTTGGATACACAAATAATGAAAATAAAATTTTAATAATCATTTTGATATACACAAAGAACGAAAATAAAATTGTGATATGCATTTCACAAATAATCACTAATACATGTTGTGGCTGTTATATATCAGTTTGTATATCACACAAGATTTTTATTGATATACATAGACAGGTATATAAATATGCATGATATACATGAAATAAATATAGGTGATATATATATATATATATATATATATNATGTTTATATGTGTGTATATTACATTATATGTCGTGATATACATTATTAGATTTGGCACTACAAAGTTAAATGGAAATTAAATCGTCCAATTTGATTTTAAGAGAGCGAAATTCATTCTAAATAAACTTACTTCAATTTTATTCTTGATCAAAGAAGGAACATAATTTTTTGATATAACATCTTCAGAGCAAGTTGTGGGAGTAAATAATTTTTTTGATATATATTTTGATATACAAAGAAGGAAAATAAATTTTTGATATACACAAAGAAGGAAAATAAACCTGTGATATCCATTTTGGTATACGCATTTTCGATGTGTTATACACTGCCATATATAAATAATACAATTATGATATATATTGATATAGAGATGACAATAAATTTTAAATAACTATATTTATAATTTTATATTTTAGATAAATAAATAATGAAAATAAAATTATAATATACAAAAAAAGTAAAAATAAAGTTGTGATATACACGTTTTTGTAGTGATATACATTTACAGCTTGTTTGGATGATTGTTACCTATTGTATTGTATCGTATTATTACTTTAAATACAATATTTGTTTTGGTTGTTACTTAAATTTTATTGTATCGTATCGTTAAATCTGTCGTTACGTAACGACGAAATGTGCCACTTTATGTAACGACCGATTTGGTGTGGTTGCGGCGTTATCTTGTCTTTTTCTCTCATCTCATCCTTCATTATTATTAAATTATTTTATTTTATCATTTACCTTACCTTTTTATATAATAAATTTACCCCGTATCATAATTTTTCTTTATAATATTGCAAGTTTATTCTTCATATTGTTGGTGTGTGATATCATGAAATAACAGCAAACGATACAATCTATCCAAACATGGTATTCGTCAAACCATACAGTACAATACAATACAATATAATACAATATAATACGATACATTATGAAACGATGTGTAACAAACATCCAAACAAGCTGTTATTGGCTACCTGGTGCCAATATTTATAAGTATGGCTTTTTCTGCTAATTATGTGGGTACATTGTCATACCATGCCAAAACCCCTTTTTATTGCATTTAACTGAGTCAAGGAAGTTTAAGAATAATCTTTTAAATATCGGAGAATCAGTCTATCTTTGCAATATTTTTTCTACTACTTTTCAACCGAACACAAAGAGTGAATAGTATTTCAAATTTTGCATAAACGAAAACTGCTCACAACAAGTTCTTCAAAAAATAATAATTTAAAACTGATTTTTTTTATCTTTTTGTTTGATTGAAAACAATTTTTTCCCCAAGCTTCCTTCACCAACCTCATGTTTCATTTCTACTAAGAAAACTATAACGTCAAAAGAAGTCTTGTGGATATGTGATTGGAAAACAATTTATAACTTACATAAAACTTCATAATCTTTTCACAAGTGGCAGTGATATACTAAAAATGAAACTAGTGCTACTTTGGTTCTCCAACGAAATTATGCTAAAATTAAAATGCAAGGGGCGTCATACAAGAGTTAATAATCTCTGAACTATAGATACATATAATTTGTTTGGTTCGTTGCACTAAACATGAGCTATACCGTGTATAATTTAGTAACATGTGTTTTGTTTTAATAAATTGGATAAATGTAAATGAACTTTTATTTCAATTTAACCTTGAAATACTTAAAAGAGCTTTGGCAAAAGGGCAATTCTGTCATTTTTTATTTATTCAAGTATAACTAATCCTTCTATTGTTATATCACATTTAATGTAATACAAAAGTATACCGATATTTCTTTATAAATATATATCTATATTACTAATACAAAAAATAAAAAGTGCAATCAGACGAAATGTAAAATAACATCATTTTTAGATCTACATTATTTTCATAATCCCAGTAACCAAAGGTTTTCCAAGTCAATTGGGTCCAAAGTCAAGCCATCGCTGTCTAATTTTGTCACTTAGAAGTCGTCGTTTTGTTTGGTTCAAGTCAAGCATTCATGTATCTGTCATTATCTTCCCATACCAGTCTATTTCAAGATAATTATAAGCGTAAAATACAGAGACCCTCACTAAATTTAGCAGAATTATTAGAATGCCTTCATTTTCTGTTATTTTACTTGCACTTTAGTTGTATTAGGTCGCAAAGTAAATTAAATATAGCACCAAAAGGTGACGGAAAATGGTTAAGAATGAAAGAGTTCCACCAAAGAAAGGAAAGAAAGAAAAACTGACAACTTTCTTGATTAGGAGTTGAGCATGCTTTGCTTGAATTAAAAAAATATTGCGTAACGCGTATGAATTAATCATATATCCTTCCTGATTTATTTTTCAGAAAGTTCGCAACTAAAATGATAGTCCAAATTGGGATCTTCTCATATAGTCATTGAGAAATATTCACCTTATAACTAGCTTTTGGAATTATATTACATATGAATTCATTTCTTAACATGGTATCAAAATCATGCTCACACTTGTAAATGTTTGTGTCGCAATGAAGAACACCCATGTTATGTTATCCATATTTCAGTTGGCAGTCAAAGCGAATGAGAAGATGGTAAATATTCCACATTAATTAAGATATGGGTCACTAATCTCTATATGTAATTTTGTACAATTTTTTTAATAAGGTAAAATTTTGGACAATTATGATCTCATAAACTTATCCAAGCTTCATTTCTTGCCACCGCATAATCGCAACATCAGTATTTTCGCATTACAGTATTACTAATAGTTGATCAATTCTTAATACTAGTATAATAGGGCATTTAACGAACTTTTAACCAACACATCACATTTCTATCATTAGCGCCTGCTAAGATCATTTTGTTTGGTCACAAGACCAGCAATAGAATAGTGCAAGTAACAGAGACCTTGGGGTAGAAAATTGCAAATCATTCAACAATTTTAACGAATAGCCTTTTATTTTACTGTTCTTCAAATATTTTCATTTTATTCAGATATTCATAACTGGTTAGTAATGCCCGTCACAATGGCTATACGTAATTTGATTTTTGTAAGAGAGGTAATATTTTCAAATCTTAACAAGGAAAGTGAACGTATCATTTATTAATGTTAACATCAGCTTAGGAAGGAATAAGGATATAAATGTTTTGACAAAACTCCTTAAAATCTCCGACTCGTTTGCGTCCCCCACTTGGCCTCTTCGCCCATTGGTTTTTAATTTAGACTAGAATTGAGACTATCGATACCACAAGTCTATGAATAACATTTCTAAGACAAGACAGTAAACAACATGACATTAAAAGGTAAGCTTTGATACAGAGCAGAATACATGACGAACTTCGTTGCTTACGACTTGTGCTAAACACTCGGCACAACATCCGCAAGACTAACACTATTTACATAATTAAGCACACCCCACACACACTGTCACAGGACCACACAGAACATTCTCAACCAGGAAAATGTCAAGGATGTCGACTAAATACAGCCGCCTCAAGAGGGGTAACAAAAAAAGAAAACCCGATCTATATCTTACAGGTCGTAAGGAGGACGAGGACTTCTGGGTCCAACCCCACTAGCATTCTCGTATGCAAATGATCGCCTACGGGACCAATATGCTTCTCTTCCTCCTGCACCTGATCATGCATCAAATTATTAGTCTCATTATTTCGACAGGTTGTACATCAGACCATGCAAAATTTCTAATGCAAAATTTTTAGATCCAAGTTGATTAAAAGCAAAACTACATCATAAAATTCCCACCCAAAAAATTCTCCACGAAACTACAGAGGAATGAAGACATGCTGCTAATCTCTGAAACGTCAGGGTAGTAGAGTCCTAAGTTGATGTCTTGACCTTAATGGCAACATGGGCCGAGTCATAAGAAGGATTAGGCAATAATAGAACTAAACTGGATCACTATACCAAACTGGTATGCAAAGAGTTGCTAATTCAATTATAGGCTACTTATATAAGCCTAAACAGCCTGCACAGTACGTATCTGTAGAGAGGTGTGGTGGGCCAAACACCAATTTTGTCTTTTAAACACATCAGTGGACTCTAGCAAGGATATCACTTTCAAAGTGGACATCACTTACTTAAAACAATTGCCTCCACCTAATACCTCCATTATTGCCTCGCATTATCCTCCAAGAATTTGTCAATTTTCCCAAAAATACACATTTGCCCCTTGACTCCTATACCCCTCAATGATTCTACCTAAAAGGAATTTACAATAATAACCTTACAAGATTCTTCTAGATCTCTGATTCTCCTCATTTCCTGGAGGGTACTTTCGGTTAGGAAACGAGGAATTACTCTAATGGCTAACCACTGGCAAAACGAGCCGCCGGACGTGACGGTGCGAAAACAGAATATTGGAACGAATCAGATCGGAAACCATTCAAAAAAGAAGTGTTAGCTTACCGGCAAAAGGAGAGACCGGAGGAGTGGTACCGGCGGGAGAAACGGGAGGTGAATCTCTGTTCTGACTCCCGGGAGGCTTTACTATCATGATACTCCTTGTCACCCTTACCGCATCCTCACTACTTGCTTCCTCACTGAAGGATCTCGGTGTCGAAACTTCTGATTCTGTATCAACAAAGAACAAGTGCTTCGTCAGAATCGAATATATCTCCCCAAACGTAACGATAATTGCAGATTTCTCAGAGTTATCTATCAAAATCGCCTTTTTCTACTCATTTTTGGATAAGTTATCATGCAGTCCTTATTAAGGGGGAAAAGTGACGCCTTTGTACAGGATTTGGTAGAGCTTAACAAAAAATAGTAGTAGTATTTGAAGTTGAAATAGAATATAAAATAAAAACTTTGTGAATAAAAACATGAATTTTTTCTTCCTGAAACATGTATATCAAACTTCAAATGCTATATTTCAAGTTTGAAATTGAAATAACAGACTAATTTGATAAACAAACAGTTACTTAAAGGAATCTCCAAATTTTATTTCAAATTCTGCTTGGTCTGTCATCAAATTGAGACGGAAATAAACGTCAGCTGCACTATTTTTGCCGATTAACCTTTAACGATCAGATCCTTAAGAAAACAATAGATACCTTCAAGTTATAACATATATCATCGATCTGGAGTACACGTTAATTACTTAATTACTACTATCGTAATTCGTAAACCTTCACAAAATAAATATAATACGTCATAAGTGATAATTCAGATTTGCTTTAAAAAAAAGGTAATTCAGTTTTGCTAAACGAATTCTAATAGATATTGATTCGTTTGTTAATTGATGAACGAAACCGGCAACAAAAGCGTACCCTTGCCGGAATTAGAACGGGCGCTAAAAGTAGAATACTTCCGGAGTTTCCCGAGGCCACTATCTGGCCGGGGACCGGCAACGGTGTCATCCCAGAGCTTGTCAAGTAAGCTCATGGCGCAGAACAGCGAAACGGCGCACGTTAAGGGGAAAAGAGAGAGAGAGAGAGAGAGAGAGAGAAAGAAACTACGTCCGTTGGGATAGTACTTTCTCGTATATTGTCTATCGAGGAATAATTGAAGCTACGGGGAGTGTTATTTATTGACGGCTGAAGCGTTAAAGGTCGAACAAATTTTGGGGATGAGATTGGTTCTCAACCGTTGATTTGTATCTGCTAGATCTGAGATGAAATAAACGGTTGGATTTAAGAGCACGTATATAGGGATAAGATCGACGTGCCAAAGCCGGCGTTTTATCCTTTGGCTTCTCGCCACGTGGCTAATAAGCATTGAGTTGATAAAGCAAGTCACGTGACGGGGTGTTATCAGCTTAAAATGTCGAATATGCCCTTAACTAAATCCAGATAGCGGTAAACTGGGTTTTTGGCCTTTTTAGGTCGGTTTCTTAGCGAGTTGATGAGGAGCAAAGGAAATTGTTTTCATCTTCTTATTTTTAGAAATAATTTTATTACAGTGTAAATTGCCCAATGTGAGTGAGTTTTAATTATAATTTGTCATAATGAAAATTAGATAACAATTAGAGCTTTCCGGGTCAATTGGTTTTGTGGTTCGTTATTGTCACGACCCAAATCGCAGGGCCGCGACGGGCACCCGGTGCCTTACTCAACCGAGTACCAACGTAACATATCTTTCTTATCATACCATCACGAGTAAGTGGGCCAGAAGGGCCGTCATGAGATAACGAGAATAAAACATAAGGGAATACTCGACATAGGACGACCCAACATGATATACAAACTTATGCATGTGACATACATGCCTATAGGATCGAAATGATCATTTATATACTCAAACCATAAGCCGACAAGGCCATACAATCATCCATATACATGACATATATCTACAAGTCTCTAAGAGTACATAAACGTCATAAAGGCCGGGACAGGACCACGCCACACCAATATATACATGTCCTAAGCATACTGACCACATAGGCAACTCCAGAGCAAGTGGAGTACACCAACACCTTCCATTGGGTTGATAGCCTACTAGGAGGACTGTCAACCTGTCTATCGGGACCTGTAGGCATGAAACGCAGCGTCCCCAAATAAGGGACGTTAGTACAAATAAAGAACTGAGTATGTAAGGCATGAAAGCAGTATATAAAAGACATGAAAGAAACATTGAGTAAAAAACTCAATCTGTAAGTCTAAATAGCTCTGTGAATCATGAAACATTTATAATGTCATGCATATGCATATAAATATCATATCATGCATAGGTATATGCGTACATAACATCATCAAGCCTCTGAGGGCATCCCATCATATCATCTCGGCTTCTGTGGGCGAAATCATCAACGTATACCAGCTGATCAGGTGGTGATGCGTATATAACGCCATAACCTTTCCCCATACTCCATAAACATATAATATACGCGTATATAACGCCATCTGGTCATGGGTCAATGTACATGTATAAATGAATGCAATGCATAAGAAGTAAGTTCATAAGATCTCTCGGGATGTCATAATATCAATATGCCTTCGGTTAAATCATGAAATAAACTTTATCAACTTACATATTTTTTGAGACCCATGAACAGATGATATAATAATAGTACACATGGGGAATCAAGAATATAGTCACCCCTAGTACTTCTAAGAATAGAGTCATTTGTGAAAGTTTCGTGTTTGCTCGTTTCATTTGTATCATATGGATCATGCCAAAAGAAAAGAAGGGATAACTTTAATATACCTTAACTTCGTTGAGTCCTTAATACTTTCCAAGTAATTCTTCAAACAACTCAACTCAATCTACCATAGCATAAGGAGATTTAAAATCAGTGCTGAGTAAAGGCTAAGTCGGCAACTTAAACTAGTAGCTCATTTATGTAAATTTGGGCAGCATCTCCCCTGTAACAAGGTCCTCCTCCAATACCATATACCAACAACAACAACTATAGCAATACAATAATAACAACATCAACAATAGGGTACAAAATATTTTATTAACAAGTCATCAACATATCACGACGAGCGACAAACTCGGATTGAATCCCTTTAGCACCATTCAACCCTATTATCATTCATTCTTGAACTTAGTAATATATCAAATATAATAACCAATACCTTTTAAAGGATTTTCAACTTGTACTCAATTTCAAAGTTACTCTAAATAGCCTAACACAAGATAATATCACCGTGGGCAACTTCCAAGTGCTTTATAGCCATTTCTTTTCTAGTTACCAATTTCCTCAACAAGATTTACATATAAACCAACATAATCATACTAACAATATCATAGCCAACTTATTTTTCATAATTTCTAGCCACTTAAAGTCCATAAGAGCAACTTTCAAATCAATCCATCAAGAACAACAACATCTCAAGCTTATCCAAGTATTATCTTGTTGTTTATCATCCTAGCAACTTAACCAACATTCAAGCAAGATTAAGCACAATAAGTAGGCTATTATACTCACCTTAGACAATAGCAACAACTTAAAATTTCAGCCAAACACAGCCCACAATTATCTTCAATGACAACACAACCTCAAAGAGGTATTGTTCTTCACTAGAACTAACCTTTGATATTGAAATATAGTGTAATCACTTTGGAATCACTTCAAACCCTTATGGTATTTGTTTAGAAGGGTTAAGAGGAGTATAAGGACGAGGTTGGGTCGAAAAATGAGAAATAAAGGTCGTCCAAATCATTTTTAAAGTGAAGTAGGTCGACCACCACCTAAGTGGGTCCCATTTGGAGCTACTTGCTCGCAAAAATGCGAATATCTCTCTACTCGGAAGTCGTATCAGCAAACGGTTTAATGCGTTAGAAACTTGACTCTTAGATCTTCAATTTGATATGTGGATCATCCTGTAATTCTAAGTATACTAGGAGTAAAGCTCTGCTACATTTGACCTAATATTCAGCACATTATGAATGTAACTTGTGATGACCTTTGCCAACTTTTGTTCCACAACTCGCTTGACTTCAAAACGTAAAACACGACTATGATACGACTAAAATAACTCATAACATAACCTCCTTATCATGTTAAAAACCCTAGTCTCACCCCAAAGTGCATGTTATAACATTTCAAACTTATCGACTTTCGACGAAACTTATTTTTCGATTAGATTCTAAGACTTCCAACCCTCTTGGTACTTGTTATTCATGATCTTAAGATTTGTAACCTCCAACGTAACATGATTAACTTACTTTATGTACTTTCAAAAATGATCTTATTTCCGAGCTTACATCAATTGTCTTATGACGTAATCTTACGTACGAAAACATAAGGTGTAACAATTATAAACTTATTTTTAGTTTTATGACCCCACCCATTTTTTACATGTAAAAGATATATCTTTTACACATAAGAGATCTAAAAAGGTCATTTTTTAAATTATAAATTATAAAGGGACATGATGTTCAAATAACATGAGCTTTCCCTAACTGCAAATTCTAGGGATGGACGTTCGGGATGTTCAAATTGGATATGAAGATTTCGGTTTGGATTTTTAATTTTTAGATTGAAGAAATAACAATCCAAATCCAATCTAAATAATCTCGAATTTGATCAAATATTTTTTAAGTTCGGTTTCGGATTAATCGGTTTGGATATTTTGGATTTTTGATTTTTTGCTTATAAGTTGAGATGTTTCTTCTTTTTACAAAAATGAATACCCAAAATAAAGTACTCATATTAAATTGCCTGAAAAGTTCCTCATTCTCACCGCAATCATCCAAATAAAGTATTCAAGTAATGAAATTATTATCAAGGAAATACAATAGAGACATTAATACGGCCGATAAGAAGTAGTAATAGTATTCAACTAGAAAGTACTCTCACATTGAATTAGTAAGTATTGAATATATTGTATGAAATAATATCTGATGGGTAGGGTATTGATTTTATTACTATGGCATGTGGATGATGGACTAAATATAAAGTATAAATTTTTTGAATTTTTGGATATCCAAAAATTCCGAAGTATCAAATCTAATATCCAATCCAAAATCCAAAATTTTTATAAGTTAAATCCAAAATCCAATCCTTAATTTGAAAATCCCTCCAAAAAATTTCAGTTTTGGTTTGGATTTCAAGTTTGCCCAAATTAAGCCCACCCCATCAAATTCTGTTATTTTCTAAAAGAAAATTGTCCACTTTAGTTAATAAAACAAAATTAGCGGTCCACTTATGCGCTCTTACTTCAATATATTCTTTTTCACCCTCCCTTAAAGTGCCATAAGTCCATTACCACGAAATTTACTAGGGAAAACTGTACTATATAACTGTATACGGTCAAAATCGAGTTTGCCCTTCGTATAAATTAGTCAAGATTGGAACCTGATGGACCGAGGATCGTCATTATAATATCAAGACATAATGGGAAGCCGGATTATCGAGCTCAAAATCCAGACCGATCAATACCGAGTTCGAGTCAATATCGAGCTATGATATGAAGTGGTGTTATCGAGCTCAAGATCCAGACCGATCAATACCGAGCTTGAGTCAATATCGAGCTATGATATGAAGTGGTGTTATCGAGCTCAAGATCCAGACCGATCAATACCGAGCTCGAGTTAATATCGAACTCGAGATCCAGAGACCGACCAATACCAAGACCGACCAAGATCGAGCTAAAGGACAAAGAGCCGTTGTAGCCGCACTAGGGGAAAGAATCTCGGCGGGAATTAAGGAAAAACTAACTAACTAATCTATCATAGGATCTCCACTATGTATTTTTAATTATATCTAAAGTAGGATTCCTCCACTATATGAAGAGTGGCTATCATTTCTGTAAGGGGCAGATTGAACGTTTAGACATCAATACACTCCCACATTTCAAAGATTATTGAGATTTACACACATATAGTAAAGATTATCCTTTTTTGGGCTTTGGACATTGATTCAACTTGTTCGTTTATAAATAATTCTCTACTCAATTTGGGTTTGTATTTCATTCCATTTTTACAGTCAATATTCAATATATTTCTACTTATTTTTCCAATTCGTTTCAAGTTATATCACATATCCTTAGAACTACGTATAAATTCAACTCTATCCGTTTTACGGGTAAACAGTTTGGCGCCCACCATGGGGCTA